CTGGCCAGCGATTCTGGATACGTCCTGGCCCTGCTGAGCTTCGGCAGGCTCGTGCATCCATCAGTGGGGACGATGGTGGACGCGCCCTCCCAGCAGGATGAGAGGCTGCAGCATGCTTTAAAAGCTCTAGAGTGCTCTAGAGCCCGGGGAAGAAAGGCTTGCGTGCCGTGCACGGGGTGACTCATCCTAAACCATGTCCCTGGGGGGGGGGGGGGGCGGGCATCCAGAAAAGGCCAGAGCAGATGACAGTGATTGAGCACAGGGAGACGCCTCCTGGAGACAGTCAGGGACATCTGACGGGTGAAGGGACCCCACACAGAGGCTGCGTGGACTCCTCCCTTGCCCTCTGTCAGCCCCGTGGCAAGCACACACCCCCTGGGTAGGTAGGACACGGGGGCTCAGAGGGAGGGGTCCTCCCCAGGCACATGTCTCCTGCGGCCCCAACCTGCCCGTCCCCAGTCCTCACCTGCCTCCTTCCCCACCAGCCGCAGACACATGCACAAAATCTGGTTTCCTTGTCATCCCCTCGGCCAGGGCTCCTGCATACAGGCCAGGGTGATGGGAACAGCTGGATGGGGGATGCCATTCCCCTAAATGGGACATTTTAGACCCAAAAGTTAGCATCCACAACTGCTTCTTCATCAGGACCTCATGACAACCTGACTCATTCGCTGATGTGTGACCAGTACCTGGCAGAGGACTTGTCAAGGACAGGCCCTCAGGAGACATTTGTGGGATTGTATCATCTGGAACAGGTTGGTGGGGGGCACATCCACCCACCCCAGGGGACAGTGGGCCCACTTTTCAGATAACAAGACTGAGGCCCAAAGGGAGACAGGGACCTCCCCAAAGCCACACTGCGGAGCTGGGACAGGGAGGAGGAGAAGCTCAGGGGCATGCACTGTTCCCTGCCCTCCTCAGACTTCTCTGCCCTGATTCCTCCTGGCGCCCACGTCGTAGCCAGGCTGGGTGCTGCAGAACGGAGCCCACACGTTGCCTGCTGGCTGGTGAACACACTCATAGGCACGAGGGGGAGCAGCGGCTGAGATCAGCCACCACGGCTTCTGCAGAGCCCTATCCCCTGTGGGCAGCAGGGCTCAAGGACCCAGGGGTGCCAGGGAATTCCAGAATCCACAGAGTTTGAGAAAGCCAAGTTTCTCCCTCACCGTCAGCTGCCCTTCTGGGCTTGCGGACCAGGGGGCACTGTGGGATGAGGCTCTGGGCCTGTTCCCTTCCTCCAATGTTCCCTCCCTCCCAGACGTGGCCTCATGTGCCCCCCAAGGTCCTGCCTAGCACGGGCACCGCCCCTCCGGCTTCCCTCCCCATCATCTCCATGCTGGGGACTCCCCTCCTTCCAAGGACCCCCCACATGCCGGTCCTTTCTCTCTGCCCCAGCCCTCCACCCCCGCCCGCAGGAAACTCCATCTTTTCTTCATTTCCACAAGGAAAGAGAACGCACCCCCAGGAGGCGCTGATGTGGCGGGCCAAACGGGTTTGTGGGTGACAACAGCTCCCCTACTGGAAAGAGATTGCCCTAAGTTTCACAAAGCCCCTCACTGTTATGGTTTCTATGGCCTACCTCCCCTCCACCCCGAGAAACTTAAGAAAAATCACTTTTTTTTTTTTTCTTAAGAGTAATTCTTTCAGCTCTCCATTGATCCCCGCATGCAAGCTCGTCTCTGGATCTTTCTCTCCACGGCCACCAGGGAGTCACCACCAAGCTCTGCTACACAATGGGCATTACTTGAGGTCTGGGACAGGCTTTGCAAGGACAGGGGGGCATTGTCTGGGGCCCTTGTCATTCCCTTCAGCTGCCCCAAATTGGCCGTCTTTCCTAGGCCAGGGTATGCCCATCCTACGATTCATGGAGGAGGGAGCATCGGCATCTCACCAGAGTGGCTCACAGTCTGGATCCTCAATTTCCCAGCTTCCCTTTGCAGGTATGGGGCGAGCACATGACCAGGCTCAGCCAAGTAGATCCACCTGCCATGGTTAGGGGGGCGGGGGAGCCAGACACCAGGACACCCATGACAGCCAGTGAAACAGGGTCCAGGGCTGGGGACAGCAAGTAGACCGAGTCACCAATGCCAGCCATGGTGTTTGAGTGCTAGTACCCTCTGCAGATCCCTCTGACAGCAAGATCTGGGCCATCACCCTGTGTGCCTAACCCCAAACCTACTCCCCAACCCTCACAGAAACTTTAAGAGCTACCAGCATCCTTTCCTCTCCTTTTGCGCTGACACCAGCCAAAATCTGTCTCTGTTGCTTGCAGCTATGAATCCTGGCTGGATCCAACAGGGTCCCCGTCTAGCTCCCCACCAGTAGGAATCATGCCCATCCTCTCCTCTCTTAAAAGACGGAATCGGAGGGGCACCTGGCTGGCTTAGTCCACAGAGTGTGCGGCTCTTGATCTTGGGGTCATGAGGTCGAGCCCCATGTTGGGTGTAAAGATTATTTAAATAAACTTTAAAAATAAATTAATTAAAGATGGAATTGGACGCAGTCAGTGTTCAGTATAAGGAGCCATTCCATGTTAACTGTGATCCCTCCTTCTGTGCGTGCATGGCTCCCTCCCTTCCTTCCTTCCTTCCTTCCTCCCCACCTCTCTCAAATATTCAACGCACACCTACATCACATGAAGACTGTTCCGGGCTGGGGTCCCAGGGGAGTTTGCTTCCTTCACCCCTACATACATCAGTGTCTGGCACACAGTTGGCTCTTAATACATTCCCACTGAAATGAAGGAATGACTTCAACAGATAGCAAAAAAAAAAAAAAAAAAAAGCAAAGGCGCCCCACACCACCCCAAAATCCTGATATTTGGCATTTTCAACAGAGCAATGAGCTGGCCAATGCCCCCAGGGTGTGGGCTGGGGGTGGGGGGAAATTTGCTCAGAGAAGACACTGGATAGAGTCTGGGATTTACATATTTATCCAACAAGTAGTTCTTAAAGGTGCCCGATGCTGTTTCAGAAGTCAGCAAGAACAAGAGAGACAACTCTCCAGGTTAGCATGGAGCACAGCCTCTAGTAGGGAAACAGTAAGCAAGGTGTACACAACACAGATCGGTGAGCACTAAGAGCAAGAAAGCGTGGAAGGGGAGGGGAAGCTGGGGAGTCTGGTGAAGGTTGCAGTTTTAGCTATTCCAGGCAGGAGAACAGTAAATGCCTAATGTGTTCGAGGAACAGCAACGAGGCTGGAACAGCGTGAATACCTGGGAGAACAGTGGCGCCAGAAAGGAGGGATACAGTTGCCAGATTTACCAAATTAAAATCCAGGATGCCCATTTAAATTTGAACATCAGAGAAGCAACGCCTAATTGTTTAGGATAAGTACGTCCCAACTGTCTCACGGGGTACACTGTTCCTGGAAAGACGACCCGCCGCTGCCTCAGGGTTGCCATCACCCACCGGGGAATGTCCCTTGCTTGCCTACCCCCTGTCCTGAGGGACCCCTCTCCCCCTGTCCCACACGGTGCCCAGAAGGGTCCCCCTGGGAAGCACCTGCGGCCCCAGAAGTGTCGGCATGGACCACCTCTCTGTCCCCCGCCCTCTCTGGCTCCGAGGAGTCTTCCACCCCTGATTTGTCTCCATCTCCGGTTTCTCGCTGTCCGCTTCTGTTGTTCCTGCCTCTCCTTTCTCTGTGTGGGTCTCTCTGGGGTCCCCTCCCTTTCTTTCCTCCTTCCCTGCACCTCCTTCCGTCCTGCCGCCACCTGTCCGTGCTGCTCTCCTCTGCTTTCTCTCTCCTCCCTGTCTCTGCCAGCTCGTTCGTCCTCCTCTGCCTTCCCCGCACGCCTCTCTCTGTCTCTCTTTTATTGCGATTATACATTTCTCCGGGTCTCCATGCACGTGTGTGTGTGTTTCCATCTCTCTCACTCCCCTGCCCCCCATCCACCGTGTGCTCCAGAGGGGACCTAACCTATAAATACTTGACAAAGCCCAGCCTGCTGTTGGACAGAGGCAGAGGCGCTGCGTCCGCCTCCAGCCTTCACGGGGGCCTAATACCAGTGGCCCAGGAGTCGTGCTGGGGAAATGACGGGTGGAAATTCACTTGAGGGGAAGCAAAGACATTTTTGCTATAAATGAAATCCAGGACGTTGACTCTGGAGGGGGGGGGTGAGCAGCTCCATGTTAGAGGGACAGAGAGAGGAAGGGGGCAGGGACGCTGGAGCGGGGTCTCGGCCCTGCCCCGCGCCCCACCCAGCAAGTCCTGCTGTGCGCCTCAGGCTCCTCACCTGCAAAATGGGGCTAACGGTGATTGCTTTGCAAGCCTTCAGGCTCCCTGGTGTTAGAAGTTTGAAGCCCAAATGTTAGAAGTTTGGCTTTTTTGAGTTCCCCGATGATGCTCATATGAAGATGGGGTGGAAAACCACAGTCTTAGGGCTTATGCATTCCCTCACCTAGAGATGTCTCCTTGCCCTCAAGACAGAATCAGAATGGAATAGAATAGGATAGAACAGAACACCATAGAATCCCAAATCCCACTTACCATCAGCACCGCCTCGTCGTGGACCACAGGTAACCCAGCCACCTCCTCTCCCTCCTCCTCATCCGCCCCACCTACCCACCTCCTATCTCTAGTCACCTGCTACCACATTCCCTCCACTCTCCCTCTTTCTTCCCTTCAAACACACAAGCTTGTTTCCACCTCAGGGCCTTGGCACTTACTGTCTCCTGCCTGGCCTGCTGTTTCCCCACGTGGCAGGTTCCTCACTTGGGTCTCAGCACAATGCTATCTCCTCCAAGGGGCCCTCAGAGCAATGCCTCTTCCTCCAGGGGGTCCTTCCTGACTGTCCTTCCTGGAGTAACATATCTCCCAGCCACCCTCCATCTCATGTTTAGTTTTCTTCACAGCCCTAATACTCCCTGAATTTCTCGTATGTATCATTGGTTCATGTGTGTGTCATCCGTTTCCCTGTAAGCTAGTAAGGGCAAGGATCTTGTCATCCATCTGCACTAATGTGTCCCCAGACCCTAGAACAGTCCCTGACACATGGTAGGTATTTGGTAAATGTTTATCAAATGAATGAGATTATTTCCACTATGTCCTTAGTTCCTTGAATGCACACGTGCTCTCTTTTATAATTTGTTTCTGTGCCTCTAGCAGGGTTTCTCAAGCTTGGCATGATTCACGGGTGGAACTAGATCAATTCTCCGTCCTGGGGGCCATCCCATGCACTGGCCTCTGCCCTCCGGATGCAGGAGCACCCACCACGAGCTGTGACAACCAAAAACGTCTCTAGACATCGTCAATGTCCCAGGTGGGGAGGGGATGGAGAATCGCCCCAGCTGAGAGCCGCTGCCCTGCAGGGTCAGACCCGTAGCGGGACACCCCAGAGGGCTGAAAACGGACGTCCTTGGACGCCTTTGAGAACCAGGGCTTGCCTCTGATGCAGTTCCACCATATGACCAGCAGGTGGCAGCAGAGACCACTCTCTCACTAGCGGGGTTGCCCTCACTTTGCGAAAACTTTCATTTCTCTCCCTGACTTGTGTAATTGATTTTGTAACTCTGCTCTCGCCCCCCTCCCCATAGGGCCTTGTGAGCAATCCGCTCAGTTTGCACTTTTACAGACTAGACGGACAGGAAGTGGCAGCAATGTCCTGAACCCACCGGCGGACAGAGAGCTGCCTGGCTGGTAGGAATGGAAAGGAAATCCTGGAATCAGGCAGATCTGAATTTGCATCCCAGGTGTAGCCCTTTCTCTCCTTTCCTCGGGCCAGTTAATTTAGCCTGTCTGTGCCTCAGTTTCCTCATCTGTACCCTGCCTCGCTTCTCTCCATAGTCCTCACCACTGACCATATGTTTTGCATGCCTGTCCTCAATCATGTGGCAGCTCTGAGAGCAAGGGCTTGCTAGGTCCTAGCATGCAATGACTCCCCAAGTGTTTGTTGAGTGACTGAGTGACTGATGGCAGGTAGAACAGTGCGGATGTGTAATAAGTACTCAGTGAGCATCAGCCATGGTGAGGAGGAGGAGGAGGTCATCGTGATGTCACGGTAAGGGTGATGGTGTCATGGTGAGGACAGTGACGTCATGATGTTGCTAATGGTGCTGTCACCTTATGATCCATGCCAATGGTCCGCAAACCTGCTAAGCCAGTGGCACTTCCTGGGGGATTTTCTTAAACCTAAGGCTCCCCAGGCCTTCCTCACATCTCATGACTCTGAATCCTGCAGGAACAAGTTGAAAACCTCAGCTGTACCTTGGAATCATCCAGAGAGGTCTTTAAACACTATCAACTCCACCCCGAGGTACAATCAGAGCAAGGATTCAGCCCAGGCATTGGGGTTTTTAAAAGATGCCCAGGTGATTCTAACGTGCAGCAAGGTGACCACCACCCCTGTCACTTAGCAAATACCCCAGCTCAGGGTCACAAAGGACAGGGCCCCAGATCAGAAACACCCACATCACCTGCGAGCTGGTCAGACCTGTGAAATCTCGGGCCCCACCTGGACCTGCTGACTCAGAGAGCCCCTGGGGACCACCCCCCGCCAGGAGGGTTGGGACACCCCGAAGAGTCTGGGCACACCGAAGCGTGAGAGGCACCACCCCAGGGGATTTGGATGTGCAGCCACTTTGGACACTCCCATTCCCGTGGGCTAGAACACGAGGACGAAAGGAGGGATGGAATTTTCTGGGGGAGGGAGCAGGGGTTCCAATTAGTCCCTGAAGATCACCCCATCAGCGAGCTCCGTGAGGATCTTTCACTTCGTATCCTGGACCCATCCCCACCATATATACTGAGAAAAGCCCACGTCACACCCAGACGTATGTTTGCCCAAAAGGAGCCAGGCTTCCCTGGAGAACACTCAATGCCAAAGGGCCAAGGAGGTGGGTGCTGTCCCCCACCCAGACCCACTGAGGCCACGCAGCTAATGGTGTCACCAGGACTCAGCCCATGACGGACTCCACACCTCCTTTGCTGGTGCAGAAGGAACCTAAAAACGCTGCCCCATGAAGGACAGAAGACCCTGTGTGTGCTTGTGCATGTGTGTGCATTGTGTGTGTGAGCGTGCAAGCGACTTCACAAAACCTCCTTACCGGAGGCTTGTTAGAAATGCAGAACTGCAGGCCCCACCTCCACCTCCTTCTTGAATCAGAACCTGCATTTTCACAAGATCCCCATAAAAGTCGGAGGTGCACTGGGGTAAACCAAATGCCAGGCCACTCTCTACCCTAAGATTTGTTCAAATGCTAGCCATGCTCAGATCCCACTCTGAGAGACTATGATGTCATTGGCCCAACGTGGCCCCTGCACAATTTTTAAATTCCGCTGAGGGTTGGGATCTGCTAATCGGTCTTCCTCAGGGGATACAGGACCCTCCTCCTCTTGCTTTCCCAGCTGTCTGAATCTCGCCAGTCTTGGACTTGAGGCTAGGGAAGCAGGCTCAGTCAACACATTCATGGGGAAACTACTCTACGACGGGTGTGTGTGACTTGACAAGGGCTCACAGGTGGCACTTGGGTCCAGGAGTGACTACCGTGTGTTTGAGGATATTCTTCCCTACTGGTTGTGAGTCTGCTGATCCTTCTTCCCTCCTTGGGCGAATCTGCTGATGATTCCTTCTTATGAGTTTCAAGCTTGCTGATTGCTCTTCCTGCTGGTGGTGGGCTTGCCGACGGCTCTCCCCGTGGTCTCTGAAGTGACACAATAAGGGGACCAGCACGCCAACCACCAGAAAGCTCGGAGGGGCTTCCATGTCCGGGATGACTACTTTATGTTGCAGTACTGAGCCCCTGGTCACTGAGAATCATCGCTCCGAGTCAGCCCGGCCGGTCGAGCTCTGGGGATGTGGACGGGATGAGCGTGCACCTCGCTGAGGTTGGGGGGGAGGGGGACATTTGCACCGCCCGGTTGGTGAGTAGCCCAGATTTCTGCTCTCGCCACCCCGTTTCACACTGCGCCCTAGGCGGGGGCTCCAGGTCTTATGCGGTCTGAGGCCCAGAGTCTGGGGTGCAGCAGCCCCCCCACCACAGCAATCATGCTGCAGCCAGTCCATTGAACCTGCTCAGGAAAACTGTGGTAAGGGACTGAGCACTGTTCTTGGAGCAAGGAATAGACCACCAGCTCGCTGTGCACTTTTGCGCAGCTTACCTAACCTCTCTGATCTTCCATGTCCTCGGCAAAGAAGGGGAGCTGATGCAATGACTGGGGGTGAGCACTGCAATGAAGCAAGAGGAGGCCCACAGGGGCTGCAATCCAGAAAGTGCTGGCTATGGTCGAGGGGCTGTTTTGTTGTTTCAGGTGAGGTGGGTTCTGCATTCCCAAGGCCTCCTCCAGCCCATACGGACACACGCGTGCACGGACACACAGACACCACACCAGGCAAGGACATGAGAGCCAAGCCCGGAGCTCAGCCCATAGCGGTAGCCTTTGAGACCAGGGCCCTGCCTCCCACCAGACCAGGCATTGGGCTCATATGGCCCGGTCCTGCTTCTGTCTCAGGCTGAGCACGCGGGCCGCCCCCATAAAGGCCACCCCGGTGAGCAGCTCAGCGATGAAGCTCATCCAGCCCAGGGCCAGGGACCAGCCGAAGCGGATGTCCACCTGGTCCAGGAGGGCCTTCTCCTCCAGGAGACACCGCGCCTCCCGGAAGGCGGCCGCCGAGTACGCGATGTAGACACTGATTCCAGCCAGGGTCAGCAAGGCTGCAGGAGAGGCAAAGGAGAGCAGATCAAACCCCCAGGCTCCTCCTCCTCCTTGCCCAGCCCATCTCTCCAGCTGTCCATGCTCCTCCTACCACAGGGCCTTTGCCCATGCTGGTCCCCTACCCAGTGCACCCTCCCTTCCCTTCCCGCTCCCTCCCGCCACCAGAAACTCCTGTCCATCCCCACATCTCAGCTCATCTAACTCGATTCCGGGACCTCCCCAAGTAGGTCAAGTGCCCCCTGTGGTTTCACAGCACCACATACTGTCACTGTCCAGGTCAGAACGGCAATTTTGCATTTGTTTGTGAGGTCGCTTAGCTTATGGCCATCTCCCCCAATGGGCTATGAGCTCCCAGGGGCTCATCCTGGATTCCCTGGCACCCAGCACGGGGCTGGCCCATGGTGGGTCCCCAGAGACCGGGAATGACAGATGCCCTGTTCAGCACCACAGCTGCCGGCCACAGGGGGCTATTTCAACTGAAATTAAATTAATGTAAATGAACATCTCGGACTTCCTGGGCATCTGCCTCACATCAAGTGCTCCGCAGCCTGGCTCGAGGCTCCCCCCCACGGCACAGCGTGGATTAGACTTCCTGCCAAGTGCACGGAGTGGTTTCGAGAATTAGTCCCCGGGTAACCTCTTAATGCCAATATCAATAATAGTAGAGGTCGGAGGACATCTGAGCCTCATACTATTTTCACCGCCAGACATTCTTTTTGGTCCTTTTCCTCCATGGATCCCGAGTGTGTGCATCACCTCTGTTCCTGCTCGGTGTTTAAGCAGGGACAATTTCAAGCCTACAGGAAGGAGGGAGGCCTTAGGACACCAGCCATGTGCTGGATCCCATCTTTGAAAGCCTCTGGTCTGCCAAACAAACGGGATTAACCCAGGCATTGCGCAGGTTTTAATCAACCAATCCATCGATCGATCAAAGCAAGGTGTGTCAGAAGGGCAGAGGCGCATGAGAGAGCAAGGGTCTCCTGCCGGCCCGCAGCCCTCACGCAGAAGCTGCAGGGTCATCTGTGAAACCAGGAAAGCAATCCTCGGGACTTGCTCCCACCCTCTGCTTCTCTCTTGGGACCTACTCGCCCCTTCCAGCTCTGATGTCACAGATGGGGAAACTGAGCCCCGGAAAGGACGCCCGCCCACCCCTCCCCAACTGAGGGTTCACGTGCAGCCCCTCTGGAGCCCCCACACTCCGTGCAAGGGGGGCACCTACCTCCAAAGAGGAAGAGGGTCCCTGTGAGCAGGAGGAGGATGGAGACTCGGAGGAGGAAGCTCAGAAACCCCATCATCCCCCCAAACACCATCAGGATCAGGCTGAGTGGCAGCAGAATCACAAATGTCCCATGCATGGCTTAGAAGAGAGAAGAGGACAACAGGCAGAGGAGAGTTACCGACAACCTTCAGTCAGTCAACAAACAGTTACTGAGCACCACCTATGGGCCAGCCCCCAGATGCTGGGAGAGAAAATTAACACCATTGTTACTACCATGTCTGATGATGATGATGATGATAATGTAACAACACGTTACAAACCACAAGAGCCACTCTTTTTCGTGGCTGAGTAATATTCCGGTACATAAGTGAAACAAGTCAGACAGAGAAAGACACATACTGTATGATTTCACTGATCCATGGAATCCAGAAAACAAAACAAACAAACAAGCAAACAAAAAATAGACTCTTAAGTACAGAGAAGAATCTGGCATTTGCCAGAGAGGAGAGAGCGGGGAGATAAGTGACACAGATGAAGGGGGTGAAGACATACACACTTTCTGGTGTAAAATAAATAAGTCACAGGGATGAAAAGTACAGTGTAGCAAAAATAATAATACTGTAATAACGTTGCATGATGATGGATGGTGAATACACCTGTTGTGGTGAGCACTGAGCAATGTATAGAATTGTCCAATCCCTGTGTTGTACCCCTGAAACTAACAGAACACTGTGTGTTGACAAAACTTCAAGAGTAAAATCAACTAATTTTTGAAAGTAACAACAGGTGTGGAGACTCATCTGTGCCAGGCTTCAGGTCGCACAAGCGCGCGTCCTGACGCTCCCTGTGAGGCAGGTACTGCCGTGTCCATTCGCGCACTCACGCAGCATGTTTCCTGAGTACTCTAGTGAGTAGAGTCAAGTAGTGAACAGATCAATAAGTGACAGAGTTGAGAGATGGTGACAAGCGGTGGGGAGGGCAGTGAACCCGGCACAGAACGGGCTGGAGCAGTGGCTTCACGGAGGAGGTGACATTCAAGCAGAGCCCGGGGAAGGAGGTGAGAGAGGCAGCCTGCAGAATGAAGGTCAGGAAGGGTGGGGTGGGGGGCTGAGGGAGGAGCAGGTACCGAGTCCCAGGACAGGCTGTGCCTGGTGGGATGGAGGCACCCGGGGAAGCTGGCAGGGGCGGCGTGGAGACAGCGTGGGGGAGAGGGGCTGCAGGAGATGAAGACAGAGAGCCAAGAGCAGAGCACGCACAGGACGGTGAACTTCCGTCCGAATGAAAGGGGCCACCAGGCGGGCAGCTTGGGACAAGAGAATCCCACAGTTTAACTCCCGTTTCTCAAGACCGCTCTGCTTGCTATACTGAGAGTAGACAGCAGAGGGGGGCAGGGGACGGGCAGGTGGCTCCCAAGCTCACGGCCCACGGAACCGCTGAAAGTGACCCGATCTGGGACGAGAGTCTTGGCAGATGACATGAGGGGTCTCGGCATGAGGTCATCTGCATCCAAGGGGGCCCCACATCCAAGGGCTAGTGCCCTGGGAGGAGGCAGGCGAGAGCATGGAGAAGATGCGGTGAAGATGCGGGACAGAGATTGAGTGACGTGGCCCCACGCCAAGGGCTTCCGGGGGTCGATGCCACCACCTGAAGCCGGGAGGCAGGGACCGGATTCTCCCTCGGAGCCTCTGGGAGGACCAGCCCCGCGGACCCCTGCATTTCAGACTTCCGACCTCCAGGACTGTGACGCCACACACTTCTGGGGTTTTTAAGCCACCCAGACTGCCTGAGAACACAAAAACAAGGAGCGGGAAGCCCATGGGGGCATTACTGCCATCACCCTGTTAAGGATGAGGGTGACCTGGGGCCGCTGGGAAGGGGTCGGACTCCAGGTATATTCTGAAGATAAAACAGGCAACGGTGTTGAAGGTGTGAGAACAAGAGGGACAAGACAAGCAGTGCGATCTGGGGCCTGAGTGCCGGGCGGACGCGCCGCCGTCTGCACAGGTGGGAAGATGAGGGAGGAAGTGCTGGGTTCGGGGTTCGGGGTTCGGTCGGGGACCGGACAGGTTCCAGGGACTCCGCAGGGAGTTCAAGGTCTGGAATGCCGCTGTATCAGGCCAGCCCCTAGCTCCCCGGACACTGAAAGCAGCCCCTGTTCTCAAGACCCAAGTATTTCCTAAAGACCCAACCCTGCCTTTCCTCCTCCACATACAGTGCCCCCCTCTCCCCCTGGTCCCCTCTGACTGCCCTGGCTCCCCATCCTGGGCCGCCCAGCCCACCGGCTTCCAGCCTTCCCTCCCCGGCTCCTGCCCAGCTCCCTCCATGGTGACTCAACACTGCATGGGGAACATTTGCTCTGAGTTCCATTGACAAGAACAGTGATTGGCGAGGGGAGCGTGGGGTGGGGGGGAGGGGATGAACAGGTGAGAGGAGGGGAGGCCAGAGAAAGAACATCCCCTACCCGTCTTCCCTGTCCCCAGATTGCAGGTGGCTGGTGAGTCAGAAGCATATTACATTAACAAGGCGTGATCAGAACTTACATTACAGAACCAGAAAGTAGAAAAGAAGGAGTTACATGAATGTCAAGTGGGGTGGGGGTGGGGGAGAGGGGGGTGGAAGAAATCTGGGGTCTCAGGATCCCAAGATCTCAACATTTGCCACCATCTTGGCTCTGAGCTTCCCGGCAGCCAAAGCAAAAAGGGAAAGAATTGCAAAGTTCTTTTTCACTGGCCATTCATTTACCAAATAATTGATTGATCATTTACCATGAGCTGGACACTAAGCCTCCTTCAGTCCTTTTGGCAGCAAGATAGGTATGAAAATAAATACTTCACTCTGGCTCTTGAGAGCGAGCTAAGCTCATATCTTCCAGAACTCTTTTTTTTTTTTTAGATGTTATTTATTTACTCGACAGAGAGAGACATAGTGAGAAAGGGAACACAAGCAGGAGGAGTGGGAGAGGGAGAAGCAGACTTCCCGCTGAGCAGGGAGCCCGATGCGGGGCTCGATCCCAGGACCCTAGGATCATGACCTGAGTCAAAGGCAGATGCTTAACTGACTGAGCCACCCAGGCGCCCCTCAGAAGTCTTTCCTTACACCCACGTTCACAGTCTGCTCTGTGCCCCCAGCTCCCCACGGTTTCCCTATTCTAGCGTCTGTTACCTAGTGTGGGGGGCAGCTCCCTCTTCTGTCTCTCCTGTTAAGCTGTGGGTTCCTTGAACAGGTTCCTCTTGTACGATTGTATCCCTGAGTTTCCAGCAGAGCACTCAGGAATGGTGAGTGCCTGATGGGTATTCGTCGACCTCATTAATTAAGAGCTAGATGGTGTTTCTCGAAGCCAAGAAAATATGGCAGTTTCTAAGAAATGAAAAAGAAACCAAGAAGCTTGAGAGATGACCTCACGGGTTCAAAACAGAGACTTCCAAGCCAGGTACTCCGCATTCGAATTTGGGCTCTGACTCTGGGGCCCTGGGCGTGTCTCTTAATTCAGCAGGAACTCCATTTCCACATCTGTGAAAGGGAGGTGATAAGAGGTGGCTCACAGGATTACCATCAGGACGGTGTGCGTGAAGATGACGGAGCAACGCAGAAAAGTGTAAATGTAGGTACCACGTCCCCATAGAATAAGTGCTAGATAGATCATAACCCTGCCAGGAATGACAATGATGGAGACAAGAATACAGCCCAACTTCCACTGTGACCAAATCACTTTGTCCTCAACCTTATAATGGCCACCAACCTTGGCGAGTCAAGGACACAAGAGCAATCTCCCTCCCAAAGCTTGTCCGTCTGTCCCTTCCTCCCTTCCTCCCTTCCTCCCTTCCTTTCTCCCTTCCTTCCTTCCCGGGAAAAATCTTGGGCCGGAAAGCACAACAGCTGGGATGAAAACCTGGCCCTGGAAGATCTGTCCCCCTGTATGGCATTGCCTCCAGACTATGGCTCGGAAGTGAAATCATTTGTCATTTAGAAATTAATGAGGTTTCTTGGAGCGGGTTCAGCCCCAGCGGCGCCATGTGTGAGTTCCCCAGACTTGCTGCGAGCTGACTTGACGTACAAGTTCAATTAAACGTCTGGGTAAGAACAGGCTTCCAGTGGGAGAGTTGTAAAATCTCCTGCTGAAGTTTGGCTTAGCTTTTCGTGGGGTGTGTGTGTGTGTGTGTGTGTGTGTGTGTGTGTACACACACGCCTTGGTCTTTGTTATTTTCAGGGCCGCAGACATGGGGTATGAGGATTGATTCTGAGTTCCGTACCCATTTCCAACCACATCTCGTTTGGAAACACCTATCTATAGGCCCCTAATGAGGGCCACGCTCTGCCACAGAGCCCGGGGACTCTATGATCTAGACTTGGTCCCTGCTCCCCCTGGAGACCAGGGTCCAGAGCAGAGACAGACGAGCAGGGAAACAAAGTCACAGGCTGTGCTGTGTCATGAAGGAAGTCAGCATGACAATGCAGAAAAACGGGGTAGGCAGGGAGTGGGGAGCACTTCTTTGGATAAGGTGATTGCATTCATTTCCTTGGGCTGCATCACAAATTACTACAAACCAGGTGTCTCCTACAGGAATGTATGATCCGACAGTCCCGGAGGACACAAGTCCAAAATCAAGATGTCCCATGACCCCACTCCCCTCCAGAGGCTCCAGAGTCCTTCCCTGCCTCCTCCAGCCTCCTGAGGATGCTGGCGACCCACCCTTGACACCGCCTGGCTGGTGGCTGCATCATTCCCAGTCTCTGCCCCCATCTTCATTCTCCTTCTCTTACAAGGACCCTTATCAGAGAATGCAGGGCCCACCCAGTTAATCCAAGATGATCTCATCTCAAGATCCTAAACTTAATGACATCTGCAAGGATACTTTTTTCAAATAAGGTCACATCCCCAGGTACCAGGGGTTAGGACGTGGATATATATATTTTGTATAGGGGGTGACACCTTCCAATCCACTCCAGTTTTTACGGGAGGAGCTCAACAGATGGCAGCTAAGATTACTATATAGAATTAATAATAATAATAATAATAATAATAATAAATGTTGACGGGCCTTTTTTCATCGAGGGCCAATGTGTGCCCAAGGGCAAGAAACCGTTTAGTTCAAAAATACTTTGTTGAGGAAAAAAAAAAACAACTTTTTGCAAGCAAA